GGCGTCCTCGCTACCTGGTTGATCCTGCCAGTAGTCATAGGCTTGTCTCAAAGTTTAAGCCATGCACGTACAAGTTTAAACTGTCTCAGTGAAACTGCGAATGGCTCATTAAATCAGTTATGGTTCCTTTGATCGTCACATCCTACATGGATAACTGTGGTAATTCTAGAGCTAATACATGCGGAAGAAGCGCCGACCTCACGGTCTGGCGTGCATTTATCAGACCAAGACCAACCCGGGGTTCGCCCCGGTCCCTTTGGTGACTCCGGATAACACAGCCGATCGCGCGGTCTTCGCACCGGCGACAGATCATTCGAATGCCCTATCAACTTTCCGGGAGTGTATATAAAAGACAAATAGATCTTATATACACACCGGGAGTGTATATAAAAGACAAATAGATTTTATATACACTCCCGGAGTGTATATAAAAGACAAATAGATTTTATATACACTCCCGGAGTGTATATAAAAGACAAATAGATTTTATATACACTCCCGGAGTGTATATAAAAGACAAATAGATTTTATATACACTCCCGGAGTGTATATAAAAGACAAATAGATTTTATATACACTCCGGGAGTGTATATAGCCACGTTCATGTGGAACAGTGTCAGGTCTCCGTCAGAACGCGAAGACATGAGATCCGTCAGAACGCGAAGACATTACTAAGTCGCAAAGTGTATATTTAACCTATATCTACTTAATCTATTACAACATGTTCTTGACCTTTTGGGGTGGGTGGGGGTATGAAAGTTTCAGTTTGAGAAGTCTTTTAACAACTTAATGAGCCTTACCTGCAAGCAAAGGCATGGTGCACACAGCCAGGCAACGGGCGCTGTAGATCATCCTAGCGGTCATGTCGGGTAGTGCAGGAGTGGTCCACGGCACCCAGGACGACTTGCTGAGGGAGGCCTTCACCACCATCCCCACCAACCAGCCGGACAGAACCAGCGTCACGGTCATCTTCTTCAGCGGCGGCTGGTGAGAGATGAGCGACACCCGCCGCTGTTGGAAGGACGAGTCGTACAGCTTGGCGGCCAGTGCCGCCCCGCCGGTCTGTGCGCCGAAGTCCACGCTGGCCCGGGGCCTGGCGTGTAGAGTCATCGCCTCCGCATTCTCCTCCATGGCTGTACCGGCGCCCTCAGCTAGCAGAACCATTTTCAACTGGAAACAGAAGGACAAAGTTTCAGCCAGATGCTCTCGCTGGCATATACAATGTTTTCCAATCAAAAGTCACCCCTTGGTCTTACCCAGACATCTACCCTGAGGCATGAGTGCATTGCCCGAGGACACCATTCCTCAAGTTGTCTCTGTCCCTGCCAAGCAAATGTCTCATACAAGATAAGTTTTGACTGGGTTTTCGGTGCCAAAAACTAAGGACCAAGAACAGGACAACAAGTCGCCGCTAGGAGTCGCTGCGAGCGGCCCGGCGGCCACCTGTTTTACCCTCGCCAAGGTCAGCCGGCTCATCTGCGAACAAAGCTGGAGACGTGCCAGAATATGACGGGATATACCATGTAGTAAACAAATGGTTCGCGACAACTGGTCGTGCGCGCGTTGGTTGTACACAGTGCATTGCTTTCCTCTGAGCATACAAAACTGGGAGCGGCGAGTTTCCGCCTTCTCGTGGCAAACGGGCGGTTGAGAACACGTCGTGCGCCGGCTGATCGCGACCGTCGTAAAAATAAAGGGTCGTCAACAAGCCTAACAGTGGGTAAGGGCTAACAGGTCACTTTCTACAACCAATGTTGCCAAATCTCTGGCCTCCTTAACACATGCATGTCTCGCACTCAGTGGTGAGTAGTGATTATCTATTTTATCATTCATACGGAGTGGAGTTAATCTAGATCGACGAAACGTCCAGTAGCACGGAGCCTTGTAGGGCGGACTTTTTGTTCCAATCTTGTCGAACAATTTGAGGTCGACCGGGGCACAGAATAACTGATCTGGAAACATGAGAGCAAGGCTTATTTTTCAACCAGCGTGACAAAAAAGTAGATCTGACAATTATATGCTATGAATAAAAAAGGCTTAATGTTGGAAAATAAAGACAGGAAACGTTTAAAAGTGTTGATTCATTCAATGAGGTATAGAAGCAATTAGTAGGCTAGGTCTTTTCTTTCGAGCGACGCACAAACAACAACAACAACAACAAAATAGACTAGAGGCCATCAAACAAAACTCTGGTCAAAAATTGAATGCGTTGTATTGATTCAGCACCCCAAAGAAAGCAGATCGCAACAGAAACGAAAATAATTGAATAAATCGAAAAGAAATGAAAGAAATTGCAAGTTGTAGCGTCGGGATGAAAGTCGTGCCCCTTTTCTGAGGACTTGGAAAATCTGCCCGAAAAGTTGGTCCATGCGAGACGTGCCACGTTCCTGTCAATCACACACTGGGGAAGAAGGTTCGTGGGAATTCTTTTGCGCAGGCGCAGACCGACTGTTCCCCGCACGTCCTGTTGGCCCAAGTTTTGTTCCTTCTTTCCAAATTTAGAACCACGAAGCCCCAGGTGAGTTGGTGCCACGCCCCTTAATGACATACTGTACCTTCCGGGGCCTGGGTCTTTTGTTTACAGATTGCTGCTTACCGTCACGTACCGCCATACAACACCACAACATGATGTATAGTTAACTCAAACTTACTGCAAACTCAAAGTACAGCGTGCTTTGGCACATCCCTTCCCCCGCTGTTTCTATGTGTGGGCGCCCAACGCGTTTCACCTGCGGGCTTCTTTTAGCACTTCCAAAAAACTCCCACATATACCATGATTGCGATCGCTTCCCCCTGTAGCTTCCGCGACCAAAACGTTACTCCATGCGGACCAGCCGCTCTCTAGAAGTCCGCAAACATACCGCGATAGCGAGTGTCCCTGTATCTCCGTTTCAGGAATAGTTTTCCAGGAAGTTCGCTACGCAATATCCGCTCTACTTCTGGTGTTAGCCAGGCAACACAGCGCGGTGAGAGCTGGTCCGCAGCAGAACGTGTCTGAACAACGTTTCCCGTCAACGATTAGAGCTCCATATTTCTCAAGACCCAATGCGAGATCCGAACATTGCATCTTCAATCTGTAGCTTATCTTGCTGGATATATCAACTAACCACAAATAACGAGCTTAAAAACTTACAAAGTAATGTGTTTAGTTCCCGATTCCTCGGTGTCCAATTTGTCCCACAAATTGATTATCAAGGAGAGGAGTGTGTTCGAAATACTGTACTACTGCGCGTAAGGTTTAAACAGTCACCGAAAATACATGCCATGCATACACATATACAGCATTTGCACGGTCGTTCTACCGTAGACATGCTCTTAGTCTAGCCTCCTTTACGTAGCCACAGTTTTCCTCTGTAAATACGCGCAAATAACTCGATATGCACAATTTGTATATACAAGTCGTAACGTCAGGGATAGGGAGACACCGAGCATGACATGTGAAAAATGAGTCAAATTTCCGGCAGCACTTTCTGCTAATAAGGGGAGGTGTGTTTCTCCGCCCAACGACTTTCCCAAAAACTCGCCACCGTAGCTTGACCGTCTAATACGTATTCTTGTTTTAGAATCGATTCCTGTAATATAGCTTGATAAAGCATGTCTTGAAAATGGCTCATTCTTGTCAACAATAACCCCGGTGCATACTCTACAGCTCGCGGTGTGATCGTTGTACCTGTACACACCTTATTTTGCCTGGGGAAAGCCGACCACAGACAACACAAAAATGTGATCGTTTGAGTGGGTACAAAAAAACTTTCCCGTCCTTTTTCTCTGGGTCAGTTTTTTCTGACATGCTTACCCAGTGAACTTGATATCTCCAGAACTCGAAACATAGTCTTACATTCAGAACTCGCCATAGATTTAGGGTTCCTTCGTGTATAAAAAAATTCAGTGAAACGTTACATTGTGAACATAAAATGGTTAAAACTCACCAAGTATTGCAGGTTGCCCCAGAAGAACGGTTTGGGTGCGCGGGAGATCTGTTCTGTCCACTCGGTCAGACGTTCACAAGTTTGTAACGAAGTGTGGGGGATTTCAACCCTCGCAAAACGCATATATACCGATAGTCACGTGACTCAGCGCACCCCACGACCAAATGCTTGGAGGGAACCAGTAGACCACGCCCCTTATTTTGAATGAAAAATACCTGTAAGAAGCGATTTCACTGAAGCGACGCTTTCTCTTGTATATCAATCTTATTATCTTCTTAATACTCCAGAAACAAAGAAAATCGTTATTTTTGCATATTTTACCTGTCCAAACCGTATATATGTATTATCCGACAGAAACTCCGGACTGACAGGTGCCCTCCGCTGACCAGTCACACCGTCAGTCCACCACAGGCTGCGACCGCTGAGCGACTGAATATTTGACACATCACTCAATAATTAACGACTTTCACAGACGAAGAACACTTTTTCTGACGTTTTTCTGCCTTCTCAATCGAATAGTCATACTCTTATATTCTTACAATATACATAATAATCTAATCATGAAATCAAGAGTTGCACAAATCCAATTTTGGTCGCTGAGCGATCCCTCGGCGATCGCCGTCCAGTGGAGAGGAGACCTGGCATGGTGGGGCGCATCTAGACCATGGGAAGGAAATAGGCCAGTCGGAGACCTCGTGACCTGGTGTTTTGTATGTCCAATTGTCCGATGTTGTCCGGTGAGAGGAAATGCTTGAGCGGAGCACAGACCGCGTGTGTGTCCATGTGAGTCAGCCACTGACCATGAGGCGTGGATTGAACGGGGCCAAGGACGTATCTTTCACGTACTCGAATGTGGCATGCGGCATGGTCAGCAATGTAGGCAGTGTCCACAGACTTGTTTTGCACTCTTACATGTACATGTTGAGTGTCATGACACCCCCACCCCCTCCATCGCACTTACGATCACTTGTATTGACTGAGGCTAAATCTTTAAGGCACAACCGTACACGAAATGGCACATGTTATCCCGCATGACCAGCAATGCGGGTAGTGTTGAACTACTCAGTTTACGATGTTAGTAATACGGTTTACGTGTAAATCACACCCTTGTCTTTTACGTCAGTGTAGAAGTAGTAATACATCGTAGAATGTTGGAAAGGAAGCGACGCGTAATACAAATCTCACGCATGGGCAGCTCTGATTGATCAAACACAAAACAACCCTTTAAAAACACACTTGCCGAAATATCAACAAGGCTATAAAATCCCTGTGGACTGTACGAAGGCGCCTCGCAAAGACCCTGCTGCAAGGACAATCACCTGTGAATGACCGCGCCAAGGTTCTCTCTCTGCACATCAGAACCTTGATCTTCGCTTAGTCACAAAAACGACCTTTCCCATGGAAATTCTTGCTAAAGTGACAACCGCATTAGACAGTCCACAGATTTCTGTGTCTTCAAGTCTACCACGGAGCGCTATCTTCCTGATCAAATCTACCTGTAGAGTGAAATACAAGGGTCCTTAACTGCCCTAACCTCGCTAATGATGATGTTTGTGAGCAGGTTGCCAGGAGATAAACAAGTCGACCTGTCAGGTTGATTGACACTTTCGTTGTGCGACTTGTGCGGCTGCGGGTTTCACACGGTCCCAGGTTGGGTTTTGTTGTGCCATTTCCCGATGAACTCACCAAATTGTTTTCTATGATATTTTTTCTATCAGAACGGTAAATGTATACAAAAAAAGGTCACCTCGCCAGAAACGCACCCAAAAATTCCAAGAACGAGATATTCAATGTAGAACACATTGCACATGAGATTTAATAATATATCTGCAGGTACTACTCGCGGCAATCTCCATTCATCGAGAATTAGGTTGTTTAAAGGTCAGTGACTAGACAGGTACCTGGCACCTGTGAATGACGTCATACAAGACGATTATAACCCTGGGAACTTGACTGTCTTTGAGAAGACACTGCGAGAAGCCTGTCAGGCTTACGATATCGCTTTAGATTGCATACATTGTAGAAACAGTAACTAGTCTCTTCCACTGAAAAGACACTAACGTTACAGTACAATGTTAAACGGCACTAAGTTTAGTTACTGGACTTGCGCGCACCGCGTCACTCAGGATCAAGTCGTAGGATAATAATTCCTTTTCAGTTGATTTTGTCATGTGTCCTGAAAAATTCTGGGGTCGTTGTATCTTATACACACGAAAACACACACACACACACGCACACACACACACACACACACACACACACACACACACACACACAAACTCACGCACACATGGACACTAACACACACGCACGCGCGTGCACACACAAACGTACACAACATACATACACATGCACGTACACACATACACACACACACATGCACGTACGCACGCACACACACACACACACACACACACACACATGCACGTGTGCACGCACACACGCACACACATGCACGTACGTACGCACACACTGTACAGTAATGCGAAAACTGGCCATTTTCGCAACATGTCGGAGTTATCTGTGACAGGAAACGTTTTGAACAAAACGTTGAATGAATTCTGTATAAGGTCGGTGTGCCGGAAAGCCAACGTTCGTCGTTCATCCGCTCGTGTTTACTTGTTTGTTTGTGTATTTTACAAATACTTTCCACGAGGCAAAAAGTCCCCGACACCTGCAGAATGGCCTATGTATGCATGGTCTATTTTTGGGTTGATGTACACACCCATATTTGTTGTTTCTCGCCTAAATATGCGGTTCCTTAGACTATGCCGAATGAGAAGCACGTGAGATATTTGTTGACAAAAGTTAGTAGTACGTGCAGTGTCCGAGAGAGAACCCGTACCCAGCTCACGGAGCCCGCGGCCACAATCAACGTCTACGCCGCTGCACCCTGGGTATGCGCCACCGACAAAATGCGCATGCTCCAGGTATTGTCTAAGATACATGCGGCTTTGCCGGTCCCTTTAGGTTCACTGGACTTCTTTGTCGTTTCTTTTGTTTGAGAATTTTCCGCGCCGTCACCGCAGGCAATCGGATGAGTGATTGATACACGTACACACTCAGCGCGGCGGAGGACTTACCGTCTGATCAAGTGGTGTAGTGTTGTGACCATAACCCCTGACCTTGCCTTGTCTCTACTGGCATGACACTGGTGTCCTGGCATAACCCATCGATCATCCGCCGTGCAATCATCACTCAGTACGTGGAACGTCTTCTGTTGTAACTTTCAGTAGAATTTGTAAAGTACACCTGACTATGTAATGATTCAGTGTGTCATACCTTGTGTGTGTTGGCGTGAGACAGAGTTAATCATATTGCTATTTCATATACTAGTAGTTAATATGAAATCTGCTCACAGATAAAGTTACAGTTCTGGGAAACAGAATCGCTTACTCCCTATACGTATATCGGCCTCAGTTTAGAATCTAGCGAAACATTAGTAAAAAAAACGCGCTTTTAGATCTACTTCCTGGCTCCTAGATTTTTTTTCACAGTCATCAACATACAACCTCGACCTTAAAATAAACAACAGAGCCAGCTGATTTTTGCCGAAGTGGAATGACCGAACTGGAACTGTGTTCTGCATTGACGAGAGAGTGTAAACATGAGCTAAGTTTCGATCTGGTTGCTGGCTTGTTTTTTTTTCCACAATTTATCATCAGATCAAAACGCAACGTGTCTGCTTTTGGCCACAGTGATACCTGTGTATGTAACGACCTTGACCGAACTGGAATCCGTGTTCTATATTGACGAGAAAGTCCGTCAGGTCACTACCGACCGGCCCGTCGTTCTGCATTACGCAACGTGTTGAACATTTCTTCAGCATGCCATACTGACGTAATGGGATCATTAGCAGCCGAATGGAGCCGTTATAGCCGAAGAGATTGATCTTTGAAATCATTTTTTTTCAATATATTTTCTGATTCCTATATCGTCTTTTAAATAAAAGATATGCATTGATATGATATGATATTTCCTACGGACTTCATACACGCACTCAAACGCACTAACACAAACACAGACAAACAAACAGTCACACAAATTGTCACAAACAGCACTGTCTCACAATGTTATGCCAAACATCCGTACATTGAGAGTGCACAGTGCTAACATTGTGCAGCTGCAAACATGTACTACTCATTTACCAAAATACGAATGTTGACAACTTGTTATGGTGGGCAACTGTCAGCACATTCTCACTTGTGAGATCAGGGAACATTGATGTTAGCCAGACAGGCCAGTTTTCTGCTTAGTTCCCAAAGTTAGACCAATTACGAATAACACGCAGACAAAGAAAAGTACATATTGATAGTGTTGACATGTTTGAAGTGCAACACTTTTCTTTCTCGCTAAAATACGTTAAACTGTAGAATTCTGAATGTGAGTTGTATCACGAAGAAACTACTTATTCGACATTTATCGCATGATGGACGTTCACTTTCAGGCTCCATCAACTCAATCTCCTGCAGTTACAGAACAAGCTGCCTAAACTAACGTGACTTCTTCCCGAGCACAAGAGCTACCTACCATCTAAAATTCAGGACTCTAGCATGTCCAGCAGTCGCGAGATATCAAAACCGGAAGTTCCGCTGCAGTACCATAATGAGCCACCAGGGGGGGGGGCAAAATTTCATAATTTATAGGTCTCATCAAGACCTACCCACCTACCAAGTTTCATGACAATCCATCGAAACCTTCTTGAGTTATCGTGCTTAACTACATATTAGGTACATGTACATACATACATACATACATACATACATACACACACGCACAGGCTATGGAATACATAACCTTCATGGCGAAGGTAATAAGGCCTCCCGAACTCTAGCCGAACTCTCCCCAATCATGGTTAGGAGTAGGTCGGGAGCAATACCTTCTGGGTCGAATGTTTCAAAATGTTTAAGACATTCGGGTGTGGACGAAAGGTTCGGTCATGGTTGGCTGGTGTTCAAGAGTAGGTTGGGGCGTGGTTGGCAGTGAACTTTGACACAAATTCGATTCGATTCGTATTAAAGGTAGGCGTGGCCTAAATCTGGTCAGACTGCTCCCGAGCTTCAGCCAACCTGTCCGTGACATCCTTGGTCGGTCGATGTTCGGGGGAAGGTTCTGAATGTGTGACAGTGGCTTTAGACACATCGCTACAAATGGATTGAGGTGAAGAAAAGGCTCGCCTCCAAATATAGCACT